CGCATTAATTGTTGTTGTTTAGGATAGTCTTCTGCCGAAAACGTTTGCGCAAAAAAAATAATATATCACATACATACGCACACATGTAGTAGAATTGATTGTAACATATTTGTCAACGTAACCTATCTGTCGGTAAATGCTTTTTCTATATATATATATATATATAGAAAAACTTCTTAGCAATTTTTTGTCGAGAGCTGTATCCAGCCGACCAGGTTACTACATTGTGCGAAAAAAAAAAGTATAAATGCCTTACTAGTCATATGAGGTTAGTCGCTGGATTTGAAAGAATCTAATTAGCAAATATAATAAGTAAATTCACAACGATTAAAAAATGAGTGTGTAAAAAAAAATTCAATTGTACGCTAATAGCTAAGGGTGAGAACTTCATTGTATTAAAACATAGATAGCTTCTTCTCCCTTTTAGAACAACTCTGAATATTATGACATTCTGTACTAAAAGTTCCTAATTAAAATCGTAGTTGGAAGAAACTTGTACCCTGCCTTTAAGTTTTAAGATTTCTAGAAGCTGCTTCTCTATCGATAATAGCCGATGATTTAATGTATGGGAACAGTCAATGAGTGATCGTAGTAAAATTATGTTATATTCAAAAGGAAGATACGTACGTGTTTTTCATCGTCTAAACACGATAGTATATTTAATTCAACCAAGAAGTTATTGAGCTAAGCGCTGATCGCAAACCCGGTCTGATTTGAAGCGGTGCAGGGTTCGTGTGTTGATCTTTCTATAGTTCAAAAAGCTGATGCGAAAACGACCGTTTTAACATACAAATCGAGCTCTGCTGTTAGTAACACAGATGCACGTAAAAACGCTAGCAACGGCTGAACTTAATCAACTTCTTGCGGCTTTATTATACAGCTCGATTGCATCTGTCACTGAACTTCCTAAGCTAAAACAATAACTAATTTACTGTAAGGTTTTGTCAAGTTAAACTATGTAACTTCTGCAAATAGTTACCTTGAAAGTGAAAGTGTCTTTTCTCATTACATATATATATATATATATATATATATATATATATATATAAACGATAGTGTTTATTTTAATACAACACACTGATATAAAAACAATAATAGTTATGATATTAATAGGAGAACCAGGCAAATTGAAGTTGAAACAGTTATCAATGCGGTGGCGCAAAGCTTATTTCAATGACAGCTCTTTGCTTTTTCCATTACCTTAACAATCATGACCGAATGACGACGTAGGTAAACGTTGACGCCGTATACTCATGTGATGATGCTATGTCATACCAGAGCGTTCTAAAGCGATTAAAGTTATGTTTTAGCAATTTTAGCAAGATGAAAAATACAAACGACAAGATGAATAGTTGAACTTAAATCCTAGAATAGATCTAGAGCAAACTTCTCGCTCGTTACTGCACCGTTACCGCGTGAAGACTTGCGACCGCTAGATAACTAGCCGATTCCAATATTAGTGGCGGATATCTTTCGAAGGGTTTTGTGCACAATTTTGCAGGACGTACACAGTCTGTGTACGACGTAACTAATGATAAAATAATTGAAAGCACAGCAAGGGTTATAGGTTGACCACACAGCCAGTAATAAACACTAGCCCTCTCGCTTGTTTGTCATGAAGTGCTTGTTATCTTTCAACTGGGGTATTTTGGTCATCGCAATTAGCCCAACGTATCGTCAGGTTAGTGTTGCTGACTCATTGATAGGCAAAAGTTCTTCTGTTATTAAAAGGCGCACGTTTGGCTTTACGGCACGAAGCTCATTTTCATAGCTTTTACTGTTGTTTTTGTTGTTGCCGTTTCTGCTATTAGAATTGCGAAACGTATGCTCTTTTTCGCTGCTGTTACCTTCATTAACAGAAACGCAAAAAAATGTTTTGACCTTTGCGGATAGACCTCTTCCCCTTCATTTTTTTTTTTTGTTGTGATCGTGGCGCTAGTGAAACGGGGACGGGAGAAGTATTAGTCGTCGCTGCTGCTGTTATTACAATACTATTATTGTTATTTAAACGTTTACTGACACTGTGACTATGATGATGATGATGATGATGATTACTATAGTTATTACGATTATTATTATTAACTGTTGCAAAAAGCATGGGGAAAAGGCGAGAAAAGAATTTTTCTTTGTTAGAAACTTACGTTAGACGCCACGAACCAGAAATAAACATGTAGGCACATTAACGTAAAGTGGGCAACAACCCCATTTGCTCCCCAGCTGCCCTTCTCGTCAAGGGCCATACAGCTAACTGCTGCTGAGACATCACATCGCAGCATCTGCGTCAGGCCGACCGCTGCGCTATGTCAGCGAGGTTCGGATGCTGATTCAGTCAAGTAAACTGTGTCTAGCTCTGAATAAGACGAATAAGAACCTTATGTAATGTTCGCTCTCGTGCGACGTCTGTGCCTCCGTCACGTCGAGTCACGCCGATCCCGGCCAATTCGACGTGCGACTATTGCTGTGCTATCTATAACTTCTTAGGCCGCACTTGTCCTTTTGCTGTATCGAAAATACCAAAGGCCGCCGAAAGGAGCAAATGAGGGCAAGCAAGAAAGATGATTTCAAACAACTGTAATTACCTAAGTTTAAAAACAGGTAGAAGGACATGTTTTAAGAGGAAGATATGTTTACATGCTATCCTTAAATCAAAGGGCAAAACAATAACTTCTTAGGTAGCAACGATTTGCTCAATCGACTCCTTATTCGCGGCCATAGAATTCGATAAAGGTCGCGTTTTTTTGTGTCTATTCTATAGATGCTCTTGGTATCGCCTAATACATTACAAATAACTGTGAGTTTTAACAATTGTCTGCTTGTTTTACTTGCTCACAAACCCGAACGCTGCCAGTTGATCAAGCTGATAGTAGTAACTAATCGAAATAGAGACATGCGCTTACATTTATTATATGCGCCGATTTGCTATTAAGATATTCAAATTCTCCACATCCGAGTTCTAACTGAGTTTTGTCGTCGTGCTTGTCGATCAAGTTGTTTTTGTTTTTTTGTTGATTTGAACAGCGTTAGTAAAAGCTCGAACGAGGCCTACGTGCCTGCCTGTCTCTTTGTCTGATCATGGTGTCGACATTTTTCCGGCGAGAGAAAGGTGGAAAGTTTTATCCCATATCGAGTATCCTCATATCGGTTGTTTGGCCTATGGGTGTAAAGATTTGTGTCGTTACGCGCCACGTTGGTGCGGTTGTTTGCCATTTTTATCTGATTATGTTAATTGTTTTACTCACTGTTATGCTGACAAGGGATCCTGTTCTTATTTACGTGCATGTATCTGTGCGTGGCAGCAACTGTGACACTCGCAGCTAATGTTGCATAAAAACATCGTTAACTTTGCTTTGTTTCAATAAATTTATGAGGATCGCTGTCATTTCTTTCTTTATATCAGCTTAAATCTGTCCCTTCGTTCGGCCTTTCCTTTCTGTAGTAAATAGTAGATGCTCGGAATATGGCCAAGCATTAGCTAATTTTTTTTTCTGTCATGGGTAGCCATCAATCTTCGCGTTTAACGTAGTCTACTCGTAGCATCTCAATCTTTTGCAACAGTATAAAGACAAACAAGCTTTCTCTTGTCTATTGGTCATCAGTCGCTTTCGCGTCTGCTGACGAACTCGACATCTGGTCAAGTTGTCACCAGAGCGCAGAAACCCTATTTACTATTATTGTATTAATGTTCTACCAGAGGATGAAGACAGGGAAGAATAGGTATGAATATATATATATATATATATATGCACACATGTTGATGTCTTCATTCAATCGATGCGCCGATTCTTTTGTGTTCTTTGTGAAGTTTCCTCTGAGGAACATCGTGTTAACCGATCGATTTTAGTTGTGGTTCCTAATCACCCCGGCACTTGTGGCAACGATATAGAATCTAGGGCCCGTGCGCATGCTCACCACTTTTCCCTAGAAAATTCGCGCCGACCGATACCTAAGACCACGCCAAGGCACCCCAAGTAAGCCCATCCACTCAAAGTGGTTACGAACGGTTACGTCCTATGCGGAAAGAAGAAAACTAACGACGATATGATCATATTGTTCCACTGCTACGGGAAACGTTCAGCTATACATAAGCGTGCTTCTGTGATTGATACGTAAATTAGGAAGGAGGATCTGGCTGATGAAGCAGATGAAAGCAAAATATGGAAGGTCAACATTAACAACGAGTTGATGAAGTGATTGAACTGGGAAGCCATCTCAATTACTTTGAGTTAACTGTCATAGTAATGATAACAATGAAAACAAATGGAAGACTACATTAAATGATAAAAGGTAAAAGTGTAGTTTACTTCTTGTTTCCTCTATACCCGATAGAATGGATTTTTAAAGATTGATATTTAATTGGCAAAACTACGAGATGCCAAACGTTGAGTTCTAATTGGAGCGTGATTCGATATTGTTAGATGAGACGTATTTGACAGGCTGAAGAGCGGATACGTGGATATCATTCCATTCAATAAACTTGCCCTTGAATACATCCACAGATTGCTTTCTCAGCTCTTTATAGCTTACCCGTAATAGGTAATAGGGTGTCAGTGCTTCCCCATGCTTAGCATATTAGTACTACGCCTGCAGGCGTACTTCATTTAGCTAGATTGGAACTTCTTCCATATGTTCACTTTTTTGTGTATTTCCTCAGCTGGAGCAACGAGCGATTGTCTCGCTACGGTTCCTGTGTTTACCTACTATTAACTAAAGGTGGTAAGTATGTAGTGAGTTACAATAGAGTCGTCTCGATCATCAGCATGGTTACCCACTGTCGGGTTTGTTAATTTTTAGTTGATCATAAAAAGGGGCAGCATGGTATTATATTAAACATCTTCATAATAAACGATAGCGTTGAAGGTGACGATAGATGTAATTAAGAATGCGATTTTACAAAAATATGTTGAGGAAAAAATGTTAAAAAAACGACAACTAGTTAAAGTTAGGAAGGTATACGTCCGCAGTTAGATGGATTGGGCATCTGTTTATTTTTACCGGAAGCAACTTGGCATGGGCGAAGATGTACTAACGGCAATTATGGCGGCTGCCTCGCATTTCTCTATATGTGAAGGATTGCTAGGTAATGATGGCGCCGAATAAATCTTCAATTATATCAAAGAGCTCGACCAGTGACAAAATCCGTATTAGATAGAGTGGCATGAATTTACGGAAGGGCTCCACGTAGATATTCGCGGATGTAACGACGGATGAAGTAGCTTCGATAAAAGTTAAGTTTGGGCAAAGTCGGTAGTGTTAAAGGTTTTTGGCTGATTGTACCATAACAGAAGTATTCTAATGGCCCTATTCCGCTTGGGTAGATTCATTCGATGCGTGAATCAGCTTCTGCAAGACGTGAAAGTAGATATGGATATGTATAGGCTGTAATAACTAATACCTCAGTGAAATTCCTTTATTTTTGCGAACAATATCCGTATTTAGTAAGTACGTGCTAAAATCGATTGAATTATAAATGTTTAAGAGAAAAATCAACTTTGGTCTCAGTAGGATCAAAGAAAGGTACGATAAAAAAAATCGATATGCACCAATTTTTAGCAGTACGCGAATCGGTCCTTATCGTTAGCTCGCTCGTCGTTTGCTGGCCTATCGTTAAAAACAAAGAAGCTTCATGTATTCGATGTCATACCCCCATCTCGCAAGTGTCTTCATCGATGGTGCAGTCGACTAAAACAAGACAACTTCAACTTGCTTCGCTTCCCCTATAGCCGATCTGTATACTATAACGTAAATAATCGACGTTTACATCAATCGATTACGCAGATACCAGTTGTCTACGCCACAATTCCCGTTTGCTTTTCCCTTGAAAATACTATCTAGCACAGGCGCGACGTTACTTCTCTGTTCCATAACGCGTCTCGTAGCAGCAGCAGCAGCAGCAGCACCAACGGCATCGTACGGTATCTATTGGCCATGTTGGTGTGACGAGAACTCCTGATGCGTCACGCCGTTCGTGAATATCATAGCACAATTTACTAGATCAAAACGATGGTGACCTTGAGAGTTGTTTAATTACAGCAAGTTCGTTAATAATGAGGTGCAATCGGTAAGCAAGCGAACCGAGGCACTGGTGAAAACCTTGTGAGAGGAGCATATCGCGGCAGGGAGAGCAGTGATAAAATGAGATATTAATACCATGACTCATTGAATAGACAAGTGACAAGAGGAAAATAGAAAACAAAAGACTATCGTGGCCGCGTATTTTAAAATGATCATGATAACGACTGAGACGCGTTTCTGGCCGATCCACTATCGCTACATTGCCGCAATGCCGATTCTAGTTAAGATATAATTGAAAATCACGCACTATGATAATATAATAATTATAGTGATAATGGTAAGAAGTATTGTGGTAGATAACTGGTACGAAGAGAGGTCACAACTGGCATGTGAGTACTTCTGAACGTCTTGTGCCCTACCTGCGTTCCTTGATCATCTCTTTCCGATGTTATTATTATCAATAACAGGAATTTGCCTCGAACCTACCGCAGGCAGCCGTATCCTCTGTCGTAGCTTCTCAAAATAATACATCCAAGTTGGGTAGAAGCAGGTCAGGTATATCAGCCTATTTTGATCAATCGCGTTCGGCAAACTTACTCGGCGACACAAACTAAACAAATCCTACTGGGTCTAGGACAATTTTAACTAGCAGCCAACCTTTTTCAGCTGATCGAGCGACACTTGACTTTACAGTAGCCATTAATTTATCTGTCCTCCGGCATTGTCCGATGTCATTTGACGTCCATTTGTATTAGCAGAATATATACTCACTAATTTAGTGGCTTACTTATGTCTGCTAAAAAACGAAAGCATCAGTAACTACGGCAGACATTGATGCGACCGAACGAATAAGATCTTTTTCGAAGCTATGGCATGACCAAGTATTCCACACAAGCACGATGCGTCTGTTTGTATAGCATCGAAGTGTAGAGCATTTTATATATATATATATATATATATATATATATATATATATATATATATATATTATCTTCACCATGATTCTAAGCATATTTAGTCGCCGTCGCACAGGCAGCACGTGTCCTCACACAAATAGGCCTATTCGTTTTCTCGATTCATATCTCTCCAGTATTAATTGTTTTGCTAATGTCCGTCTATGATCTATCTGTTCGGTATAGCTGGTGAGAATTTGTTGAAAATCGCTGAACGAGTTATACGTGGCTGTACACGACAGCCGTATGAAGACAATGCGTTCTAGTTATCGCGTTGAATCCTGTGTTGGTAAGCAGGACGTTCCTCTTTTCGGTGAGACAAGAAAGAGGTCGACGAGATTGCCTAATTGATGAAGGCTCTATTAAGGCCGAACATTTATAAGATTTTCGAAGCTACGTCTGTCAAACAGAACTTTCACAGTTAAAAAGTGTGTGAGATTGGAAAGTAGATGGCTCTACAATTGAAACCATATAATTATTGTTAAACAACAGCACGTTATTATGTAATAACAGTATCTGCATGTATGTCTACTCTCGTTAGAGGTTAATGTCGCACCCTTGATTGAATTTTCGATCCTCCCGTCATGCTGATTAAATACCGGCAGCAAGATCACGTATCGGGAACACCGTATAGTGTCCCCGTCTTCGTATAAAGACCTGACCTTTGCTGAATTATCCTCGCACTAGCTTCAGAGTTGATTTTTTTTATCAACCAACAGTATTAATAGTTCATTAGCGTAGAACTCGTAAAATCATTTTTATTCATTATTGACGTCTCGCAAGATCTGTTTCGATTAGTGCGTGACTCGCGGCTGCTGTTGCACGAAAAAAGAACCTTTTTTCGTAACTCTCCAACTTACTGATTCAGGTGTTACCTCCGTTGACAAATACTACAAAAAATAGCTCGTCTGCCCGGTGTACCGAGTGACCAGCTCTTTTACCTATAGCATTATTTAAAATACGATGTAGTAGAACAGCAGCTCATCTCCAAGCAGCAACGATAAATTGTAAGTGGCAGGGGGCTCGTCCAAGGAGCGCCATTTGATGTTGTCTCTTAATGTTTTTTACCGCAAATTGGCCGGGAATCACAAGAAATTCTCAACTTGATCTAATACATACGTACGTCCGTAAAATATGCATTTGAAGCGGTGTTCGACCCAAATGGGATTGCGGCACAGTGGGCAAATCTCGATGTGTGCAGTGCTGCCATCGGTGGGGCAAACTGTGTTCCGAGTGCCACAAACACAGCAACAAGCACACTGTGTCATCACGTGAACTAAGAATGCTGCCGAAGGAATAATTGAGAAAAAATGTTTGGTTGCACGTACGTGACTGTAAAAGATCGTACAACAATCGGTGCGATACGCAGGAAAGGTATTATTCGGTGGTCACAGGGAAAAGCTGCTTGTGCTTTGTACCTTTCCTTGATTTTGTTATGATCTAAATACCGCATTGGTCGCCGATTTAGATAAACTGAGTCTGTCTGTTCTATGTACTTTCACTAGCACTGACCCGCACGAGTGTGATCCGTTTATACGGTTCAGGTGAACGGATCACGCTATTTTAGCTGTATAGCTGTGATCTCTATTCTTGGCCCATTCCAGTCGCACAGATACTCGAGCCTCGTGGACACCTCGTCATTATACGATTATGTATTCTCCATCATTTTCATCTACCGTTCCGTACCAGATCCTAGTTATTATTGGTTAATAAGGGAACGTAAGAGACAATAATACCAGAGAAACTACTGGTGGAAAGTACTGTAATTCTGTTCCTATTCGACCTCAGGCATGGTAACAACGTTTGTCAATGCCGTTGGCTTCTTTCTATTCACTTCCGTGGAAAAGGTACCACCGAATGAGGACGTCCTATGACGAGCTAAGATAGAACCCCACAGCGAAGCTGCGGCAAATGTAAAGAACCAAAGAAGTGAAAAAAAACCCTATACTACCACACTTTTACTCTCGAAGTCCCTATTAAAGACCCACTAGCAAGCTACAGCTTCGGATGCTGTGATTAATTTGCAAAAAGACCTCGGAAACGCCACCGATGATGACTATGGTGATGGCAGCGATGATTATGTGTTCTACCTAGCTGCTAAAAAGAACGAAAAAGATGTCGGAGAAACGAAACGAGCCTTTTGATCAAAAGATAATTCTGTCCCAGTGAAGAACAGCGAAGACGATCGCTTCATGGGAATAGCACCATTTCCTGCGATGTTTGTGCGTTTGAAAATTACGATGCGACGTCCCCAAAACAAGAACGGCCATGGGGAGAGCGGGTCAAATGCATTTTACTCTTAAGGTCTGTATCGCTAGAGGGAGACCATTAGACGGTAAGCGTGAACGGCCAACAGCTCACTACTGAGCTGTTTACCTGAATCAGAATTGCCGTTGTGTATTGCCAGTAGGTACTTAGCCGGCCACCAAGATTCTGACAGGTCAGCTTTCTCTCAAGAAGATTATGGTGCTGAAAGTAATGGTAGGGCAAAAGGAAGTTATACATTAGGTAACAGTAAATGTATTGTTATCCAGAAGCTGTCCGATAGCTGCTAGATCGAAAACAGCTATTGGGTAAATAGATCTACCTCTTATAATAACTGGATCTGTCGGTTTCCTATAGAAATTTCGATTGCCAATAAAATTACTGTATTGCTTTAGCATTATCGCTACGATTTTGGCAATAGATGATTTTTTTTACTTGAATATTATTACAAACAATTACAATAACATTGGGTTTTGCGCAAGCGTATAATAGATGTTACATTGTCCGATGACTTCAATGGTCTTTGGCCATGTATTACTGCGGTCTTTGTGATTTTTGACTTGAGTGCCATTGCAGATCAAGTTGATGCCTTTGTTAATTGAAAACATAATTAGAATCAATTGGAAATTACATAATTGCAGTTCTTGTTCACATCGAACGTTCGAGATCAATGCGAGTAATGAACAGATCGTTTCTGTGTGACTGAAAGCCACACAGATAGAAGTGGGAACACGTAAAAAACCATGCAACTTCAATTGAATAACATAGACGACAAAATAGCTGATGTGGCATTTACCAACGACGAAATCGTTCGGAGAGGATTTTTGTTACGTGGCAAACATTTTCAATTAAAAAAAAAAAAAAGAAAGAAAAGCTTGTTCTTTTTCCTCGAAAGAATCCTGCTTGAACTAGGCCCACATTGGGTACGTGAAGGAGTTTCTTGAACTTACTGATCCGTCGGCTTGACATGTCATGAGTAAGACCCATTGAAAATATCACAACATGGCACGTATATATGTCATTTCTCTTTGCTCATAGAAGCACTTACTAAATCACTCAGTGGCACGTAATACACCACGTTGCAGTTCAACACGCTTACCATTGCCGTTCCTATGGGACCCACAGGAAAAATTCACGTCTGATCGTATATCTTAATGCTTCCTCAAGCTGCGTGTCTGCGTCTGAACATGGTCACATACATGCATGTAATTCTGAGGCTAGATCTATTGATGATTCGCGCATCTACAGACATGGAACAGAATCGAAATTTAGTATGAATACTGGTTATTTAAAAGTACCGAAGTATCCTTCGTCAAGTCAAACTATGAAATAAGCATGGATATATCAATAACCGTGATAACAGTAAGAACAGGATGCTTTTATTATCCGTGGGTCGAAGCGGCGTTGGCATAGATTTTTCATGTTTGTTCAATATTAGGTCTTTATAAAAAAAGTCTTTAATAAAAATATTAAATAACTTTATTTTAATTCTATTCAGTCGTTAATTATGACCTTAAACGGAGCTCAGCCACTCAGAAACTAATCTACCACCTCCTTATGGAAGAAAAACGTGTTTCGTGGGTCCTTCTGCGGCCATCATAATTTTCTGTTATTACTGTTCAAGCTTACCTGAAACTGTCTTTTTACAGTCGGCCTGAAATTAATGATAGAAATAGATAATTTCTGCGGCCTTTGTTACCCCCTGTCGGAAGGATTAATGAACAAAATGATTAATAGTGAGCAGCAGTGCTTTTTCCATTTTCGATGTTTTGCATCTGGATAATCGGCAATTTATACAGCATATTACTACGGCTGCTTCTGCTGCTGTTTTTTTTCTGTAAAATGTATTTTTTTTGCCGATTAATTTGGACTAAGGCAAGTTCTTTTGGAAAGGGGTTGGCGTTGCTGATAGCGCGGTATATATATATATATATGTTCATTTTTTGTAGTCAGGCCATTGATACTGCACTGACTGAAGGAATCGACTAGCTAGGTATGGTAGATTGACTAAAATATACGTTGTGACTGCTGGATAATCTGCTAGCCACACTCTGTAATAGAATGATACGGCCCGTAAGATGTGTTATATCATAATGGTTCTGATTGCAGCCAACTGTTGGTATTATATTTTTTTTTGTTAACTTTCAGGTATGTACATTGATTGGCTTCCCTATGGAGCTACCTATCCTGCTGTTAGTGTAACCTAATGATAAGTAAAATATAACACAGGTTTGAATGAGAGTTTTGTGTTATTCGTTCCCTATAACGAAAACACGGAAAAAAGAAGCAGGGACGACTCTGTATGGAGATAGCTGACCTATAACTGATTATCTGAAAGCTTTATATGTGTACATATTTTAATTAGAGCGCGCTTGGTTAAAAAGGTAGCTAAGCACGATTTTAACATCTGTTTATTCGATTTGCTGAGTACTAGACAAATTTAAACGCTTCATACCTTATATACTCGTCTAGAGATATTGATTTCGTTCAACTTTTTATATAGCATAGTGCACT